CATTATACCATCTCAAAGGAGACGATGTAGACAATATTGATCTGGTGGGCAGTGAACAGTCTTTTGTAGTCATGTGAAGCTCTTCTTATTGAGATTGCATCAAGGGAACTTGATGTGGCTCATTTTCTTATTCGTGCATATGTTATAAAAATCATGCATGTATGCTAACAACAAAAGCATGTTCCTTATAATCACCTCTTCGCATTAAACTTGTTCTCATTGTACAAATAATTGATGTTTCCATTCCCATTTTTGGGAACCATCCCCTTGAGGTCTAGTGCTGCAAATTTAAGATATTTCTCTTGTAAATGATGCTGATTGAAGCATGCAAGATTTTGTTTATTTTTTCCTTTTGGTGTCAAAAGCATGTTGAAATGGGAAATGGTTTCAGAAGCTCCCAGACAAACTGAAGAATACACTTAGATAATTTTTGACATATGCATAATTAGAAAGTGAAGGAGCTCAGATATTTAACCAAAGTTTTTGCGCTTGTCTTGTTTTATAATTCTTCAATCTTTTTATGGCCGCAGTTAATGTGCTTACCTAACTCCCAAATGCAGTGTGAATAATCTTTGGCTCTTTCTAGGAATTCTTTCCCCAGTAAATGTCATCAGAAACTTCTTATCTATTGATGTAACGACTCGGAACTTAAAAAGAAATAAGATCATAAATTAAATGCGGAAGCGAAATAATAGCGTTAGGGTTTACAATTCTTACACAATAATTCAGAATACCCAATAGGATTACGAGAATGGCCCTTCTAAAAAATAACAAAAAATCAAAAAAATAAATAGAAAGTAAACAACTGGACATCTTATTCGTAACCTTTTTGTGGATCAGGATCGGGATATGAATTTTGGTCCTCTTGATCTAAAATGGTTAATGAAAGAGTGAATTACATTAGCTCAGTAAAAATGTCACATAACTCACCGATACAGAAATAAAGGTTGGTAAAAATCATGAAAACAACTAATGTATCCTTAATTTAAGTAAATTCATTTATCATAAGTAAAATTATTTATTATACACTTACTGTAGTTAAATTTTCAAAACTGACCTATAGAGACAATAGCACAAACAATATCATAATCTCATATTCAATTAAGCAGAACATTTTTTTCTTTTTATCTGTCTACTGGTATCCATGGGGGTCCATAGGGATGTTCTCGTTACGCGTGAATCCTTATTTAATATTTTCAATTAACCGGTCGTCCCCATACCCCGTCCGGTATGAGCATCAAAACTATCATCTCTCAATACCCCATCCGGTATGAGGGTGAAACGGGTCGTCCACATATCCTGTTCGGTATGAGCGCCAAAATACCAATTATCGATACCCTGTTCGATATGAGGCAATGTTCACGGTAAGGTTCCCTATGCACCTGGTCCGTCCACTATCTCTCAAGATATCTAGTAAAGCTACCATTCATTCATTCACTTAATCAAATAATTCTCCGTTTACATTTAATTTTCAATTTCATAATTTAACTGCAAATCACGCAAAATAAGCGATATATGCATCAAGAAAATACAATTGAATCATCTTACCAACTCCAGTATATTATTACGCATTTAAAATTGTAAAATCAATCAATCAGTTAAAACATGACAAACAGTAATAAATAATCGGTTTCGGCTCCATTAGTAA